GAGTACATGACAACATATCCCCCTATCTGAGCTCCCCCTATATTCCTATATAATATAGCACTCCCAGAGTACCTGTCAGCTTGGCACATATGCCTGTGTGATGTTTTTAAAACTAGCAAAATAATTTTATTAGTTAGGATTCACCAAAGAAATAGAAACCTATAATTTTTATAGAATTCCTTATTGATATATTCATACATTTCTATATAATTATAATATGTAATATATTATAAAACATACAAATGTATTTATGTAAATATATATGATATTTAAATATGCATGTACATATACAAAGAGATTTATTCTAAGGAATTGGATATGAAGGTTGAGAAGTCCTAAGATCTGCCATCTGTAAACTATAGTAGATTCAGGCCATGCAGAGCTGATGGATGATATAAATTCTAGTCCAAAAGCAAGTAGGGTCAAGCCTGTTAAGAGAGGATATTTCAGTTTAATTCCAAAGGCCAGATAGGTCTGACATTCCAGCTCAAAGCGGTCAGGCAGAAGGAGTCCCCTTTTTTTTGGATGGAGGGTCCCCCTTTTTGTACTAGGCATTCGTGCCTTCCACTGACTGAATGAGGGCCACCCTCCCACACTGGGGAGGGCTACTTTACTCAATCCACTCATCCAAATGTTAATCTCATCCAAAAATACCCTCAGGACACACCTAGAATAACATTTGACCAAATATCCAGGCATAACATGGCCCAATCAAGTTGATATAAAATTAATCATCACATGACCTTTTTCTTGTGAGCATTTCATCTGGAGGGAAGCCCACACACCTGAAAGTAAGTGTTGCCGGGTAAATTCAGCCCCTTTCAAGCACCTATAAGAGTAGCTGCCCACAGTGGTGTGTCGCCTCCCATGGCATGAATCAGACAGGCCTTCTATTCACGCGAGACTTTGAGGAGCAACTCAGGATGTAGGCGGATGCCTCTTTGTAGGGACAGAAGTGAGAGCCCTGCTGAGAAGGCTCTGAGCTGACCCAGCCTGGACTCCATGGCATGGTAGACCCCTTGTCCATGACTTTCTTTGGGGGCAATTCTCATTGCTGGGCTGACCCCTATCTCCTCTCCTCACCTGCCTTCACGTAGCCTTCTCTGTTTCTGCATTGAAGAGCTACTGAAGAAAACCAAAGAACTGGGTTGGCTGGACCTCAGCAGTTCATGATTTCTGACCTCTGCTGGATCTTCACTATTACCCAGTGCACTTTGTCATTCTGTAGCAATTGATCCATCTATGCAGATATTCATTCAATAAATATTTTTGAGCACCTACTGCTTGCCAGATACTGTGATCTGCTAAAGGTACAATAGGAGTGTAGAAAAGGCAGAGGTCGTCTCTGCTCTCAGGGAGCATGTCATGTGGCAAACTCCACAGGCAGGTGTCCTAAACCTAAAAAAGGCAGGTGACCTCTGCCTTTTCTACACTCCTATTGTACCCAGAGGCAAATATCTCAACCCTCTGAATATACAGATGGCCTTAAGGACATCCTTGGGTTCATCACTGTTATAAGTTCCCAGATCTTTGTTCCCAGCCCAGAGTTTCCTCTGGGTATCTGGAGTAGGTCACAGGCTCTCTGATCACCACTCCCTAACAATGTTCCCACTTCACTGAATCCTCCCTTCTCTTACTGTCCCCTCCTGGTCTTCCTCCTGAGGTTTCAGCTCATCCACCACATGCCCAATCCAGGAACCCAAGCATCCTTCCTTGTTCAGAGAGACTTCTTATTCTGCACCCTGAGGTCACCAGGTTCTGTTTATTCTTCCTTCTGAATAATCTAAATAATCATCTCCTTCTGGTCCACTTTTAATACCACTGCCTCATTGTCTGCCTTGTCTCCAGTCACAACCCTTCCCCCTCTAATGTAGTCTTTATATCACTGCCAGAAAACAATTCTAATACATTTGATCACGTCCTACTCCTGATCCAAGTTCTGAAATGGTTTTTCACACACTACAGCAGAGTTTTAAACTTTTGTTTGGCAGAAGGATGCTTCCCCAGTCCCTTCAAAATGGAATGTGAAGCACTAAAAAGCAATGAGCTATTAAGCCATGAAAAGATATGGAGGAAACTTAAATGCATATTTCTAAGTGAAAGAAGCCAATATGTAAAGGCCACATACTATACGATTCCAACTATCAGACATTCTGCAAAATGCAAAACGATGAAGACAGTAATGGATCAGTGGTTGCTGGAGGTTAGGAGGAAGGGAGAGATGAATAGGCAGAGCACAGAGGATTTTTAGGGCAAGGAATATTTTGTATGATAATATAATGGTGGATACATGCACTATACATTTACCAAACTCATAGTACAACACCAAGAGTTATACATATAACGAATGTAAACGACAATCTTTAGGTGTTAATGATGTGTCAATGTAAAATGGTAACCAATGTACCAACCACTCTGGTGTGAGATGTCGCTGGTGAGGGAAGCTATATGTATGTGGGAGAAGGGGAACTTTCTGTACTTTTTGTTCAGTTTTGCTCTAAAAATGTTTATTACTTATTACATTAAAATTTTACATTTAAAAAGTTAGTTTACTTTTTTTTTTTTAAAGAGCCACTTGGATGGAGGCTGTGGTGATAGAAGGAGGAGGCGGAGAGAGGTGGAAATTTGTCTGTCTCTCTTTCTCCAAGCGATCCCGAGACCTTGGGGCCCTAGGACTTGGAGGAACTTTGAAGACAAGAGCTGAATGCTTTAGCAAGGCAAACAAGAGCTCTCTCCATCAGGCCCGGCTTTCCTTTCTATTAATAGCTCATTTCTTAAGGTTCCTGAGCACCATGCACTCATAATATTCTAACGTTTCCCCAACTGGTACTTGCGGCAATTGATCCCTCTGTCTTGAATTATTTGCCCTCTTTTTCTACCACCTTCTCTGCTTGATAACTCCCTTTAAGTCTCAGCTCTATAGCACCTGCCCTGTGAAGCTGTCCCAAATTCCCTGTGCTCGATTCATCCCAGACTCTCCACTTTGGCACTGTCTGTGTTTGCATGCCTGATCCTACTAATCTGGGAGCAATCTGAAGCAGAGGCCTTGCTGCTTTCACCCACGTATCCCCCATAACCAGCATAGTGCCTGGTTTCCTACATGTTTGCTCAGAATGAATGAATGAATGAGTACATAATTCTATTCTTCCTCTCTGAGAAGATGATTCCATCTCCCTCTAGACTGAGGCAATTTTCAGTCACTCTTTTGTGGATTTACTCTTTTCCATCAGTGTATTTATAAACAGGCCAGCCAAGGCAACCCACAGGTGGGTTTGGCCATTTAATTCTTTGTGCCCATTTTGCTTACTAGTAGAGTCTATTTCTTCAGATGTATTTTCAGTTCATCCTTGAGTTACTTCACCTGCCCGCTCTCATTTACACATGCTCCTGTTTCATTGAAAGAAAGCTTGTTAGAGCTAGAAGTTCCCATTCTGTCCTCTCATAGAGAAGAAAGTCAGAATGGTTAGCTTAAACTATGGCCTTTAGAGTATTCCAATATAATTGTGTGATAACGTGGAATTATGATGCTTAATTTCCAAAGCCTCGGTTGAACATGGGCTGTGATTTTGCTGACATCCCAAGTCCACAGCAATAAACCCAGCTTCCTCTGGATTGGACAGCTGGGGTCTGCAGAGCATGACTAATTATCTAAGGCAGGTGCATTTTTCCTTTCTCTGAATTTTTTTTTGTCTCCTCTGGCTTACAGAGGTAGCTCAGAGCAGTTCTTAAAGAATGCTTATTCAAGCTGTCAAGCTCTGTTAACCTGTTCTGAATGAAGCCAGTCAGCCCCTGAACTTCCTTGCTTCCTCCTGTTTTTCACACAGTGTCTTATCACAAGTGCTCAGGCTCTCAGAGAAGCTCGAAGCTCAGGTTAGGACTTCTGCTCCTGAATCGTCTGTTCCAAAGCTTACCCCTCCACTCACACACATGGGGTTTTAAAACACTGCTCTCTGCCCTCCAGACATTCATTTACATGTAGCATTTCCTGGACACCTGCAATTTTTTACTCTTAAGGGTCTTTGGTGGAATTTTCTATGTACTTTTGACTAAATTATTTTCTGCCCTTAGAAACTGATTTTATGAGATAATTGGTCAATGGTCTTTTACTGTATTTCTTAATTTGTATTTTCTTAAATTATCATATTTCATAATTTGTATTTATAGGGAGTTTCTTTCAATAATAGATAGTGATTAACTATTTACCATTAAGCACATTCTCATAAAACTAAGGCTAGATGATTCCTGATAATCTCTTTTCAAACAGAAGTGAAAAGTAACAAGATCAGAACTATAAATTAAGCAAATGCAAGTTTCCTTAGACTTAGAGTGAATAAAGTCCTCCCTTAGGTTCCAAATCAGATCATCAGAATGAATCAGAAAAATTTAGGCCTCATTCACCTTAATATCTTTGAAATACAGTGAAAGGAGGCAGAATTTGTTGCCATTATCTCTTATTTATTCATTACCATTCTTTCCCTGGTCTCTACTCTTCCATTCAATAGGAATCAAGAAATCTTCCCTTGAACTTTCATATGTATATCACATTGTCCTCACAGTATTTAAGGTAGATTATAAAAATATCTAAAATCTAAAATACATAACAATACAGAAAAATCCATGAAGAAATTACTAGGCAAAGAGAAAATAAGGATAGAAAAAGTTCAGATAAGCTATCGGTAAACCAAGTACACAAATGCTATGAGTCCTTCCCATTTGCTAATTGGAAGTAACACTTGAGTCTTCTTCTAGGGTGCGCATTAGTATCAGATTTCTTTCTGTTGGATGCCCCCCTAAGGCATCATGGGCACCCGGACTCCTTGGGCCTGAGAGGCAAGGGGCTGTGTTGGGCAGGAAAGGATCAGAAGGAGGAGTGGGACAAGGCTGGTCACAAAGCCCTTCTCACCTTAAATGGGGTCCTGACTTGTACACCAATCACTTTATAGTATCCTCCCCAACCTTCCACCTCCCAGCCCACCCTACATGATACCATGAGTACTTACCAAGACCCAAGCAAGAAACTCTGAGTCCTGATTTTCCAAGATTCCTGGAATAAAAACAAAGGAACAATGTGGTCATTGTTTCCTCAAGGGCACTGTGTACATTTAACCATGAGGATTCTATCTCACCTTGATGACATGGTGCTTGACTAGAGTTGTGGTAGAGACAGAGTCCCAGGCACAGGCTGTGGCCTTGGGGAGACGTTCTTGTTCATCTCTATTTTGGACTAGGAGCTCAGAAGTTGCTCAAGCTCAGCACAAGAACAAATGTCTCTAGCAAACACAGCTTTGCAGCCCCGAATGATAGTTTTTATTAATTTGCTTACAAATTGCCTTTCTCATTCTAGAATCTGAGTTCCTTGAGGACAAGATCTATATCTTATTCACTAACCAACCAGTCATTCATTATTTCTTAGTAATTCATTGGCAGAGCCTGATGCCAGTGGACCCTTAATATATATTTGTTGGCTAAGTAACTGACAACCTAATCTCCAAAGTAGAGTATTATCACTAGTGGATGGAGATTATTAAAAGAACAAATACAAAATCCTTCAGGCTAATTAAAATAAATTATATTATCTTTTATAAAGTGCTACATAAAATTGGTATAAGAAAGCAAGACAGTCCTTTTGTAAATGATTGTTTTTTCCCTCATTAACACCTTTGCTTTTCAACCCTGAAAATTTACCAGGGCAAGGAAATATATTTTCACTCTCTAAGCAAGGACTCTAGTCTTTATTGGAAGGTGTGTCCATGGAGTCCCAGACCGAACCCGTCATCTAACTGCTGTCAAAGCAGAAACCAAATTCTCAGAGAGGATGCCTCACAGAATTTTGTAGGGGGTTCAAAGTGAGGAGGTGAAGCTTAAATAACAGAAACTTGGCAGAAAATTGCATCCCTTTTATTGTTTAAATTTTCTTTTCCAATTATAGTTTATATTCAATATTATTTTGTTTCAGGTATACAACAGTGGTTAGACAAACATCATTTACAAAGTGATCCTCCTGATATTTCAAGCACCCACATCCCTTATATTCTGATCAGATGCCTTTATGAGAACACAACTTTCCTCCCCACCCCAAACAAAACAGCACCCACAAACGTATCCAATGGTAGCCCTGCTCAGCTCCTCCGGGTCCTCCCTAGATCAGAGTTAGTATTTTGTACTCTCATTTTTGCACCATTTTCTTTCCTCTACTTGTTGTTATCGTTTACAAAATCACCTAAGTAACACATTTAATTTGATAGCAGAGTTCAAAATGCATTGTATTGCAGAGTTGAAAGAGCCTGGTTTCTATCCCATTTACACAACTAGCTAGCTAATTTTGGAGAAGTCACTTCCTTCCTATGGGGTTCAAGTTCTTCATAAGAAGGATGGGACATTAAGATTGTCATTCATTCAATATCACTGTTATGGGCCTTGACATGACAACATCTGCTAAAGTGTGGTATAGTACACAACAGCAAGCCACAGTTAGTTTTGGTGCTTTCTGCATCTGCTCATCCTTCACAGACACAGTGTTGAGTTTTTCGTTTTGTTTTTAAAATATATATATTTTATTGATTTTTTTACAGAGAGGAAGGGAGAGGGATAGAAAGCTAGAAACATCAATGAGAGACATCGATCAGCTGCCTCTTGCACACCACCTATTGGGGATGTGCCCGCAACCAATGTACATGCCCTTGACAGGAATCAGACTTGGGACCTTTCATTCAGCAGACTGAAGCTCTATCCACTGAGCCAAACCAGTTTCAGCAACAGTGCTAAGTTTTCCAGTATGAATTGGATATGTCCAACTGAAAGGAAATTCTTGCATAAAGGGGGTTGTGAAAAAATATTTTGAATTGCTGTACTAAGAGAAAAATAATCAGACCTCTCCATGAAAATAATTTGTATAAGAAATTATTATTTTATCTATTTTATTTATTTTTAAATTGTACTCGTACATCAAAAATATCATTCTCTTAGTAGTTTCTCAGAAAACTACAGGCTGTGCAACCAGAAGATCTTTCTTTTAGTCTAAAAGTCTACTGGTTTTAAGAATGGGAATTAAGAGCAAAAGCTAAATAGTGGGGAGAATAAAAAATGACAACAAAGGCATATACGAAATGTGATGAACAGTCTTCCAGGTAGACTTATTCAACAATGACGAGTCAGCAAAGATTTATGTTGAGGTGGGCACATTCCAAGTAGTGCCCAGGTCATGCGGATACAAGGAGAAAGCAGGCCCAGGGTCTTTGGGAGTACATGGGAAGGAGACTACTATCTCAGGATTGTATTTGCATACCTATATGGGGAGGGGAAAATCTAGGTAAAGATTTTTATTTTGTTTTAAGATCATTCAATAATTCTGAGAACAGGAAGGAGGGACACAGTACAGAAAATTATGCAGAGCAGGACATTTTTTTATCACAAACTCAAATAGGGCAAGGTTTTGTCACTGGGCACAGAAGGTGGGGAGACCTGACCTATGACAGTGTCTTAGGAAGATAATAATCACTCTGCTATGGGTTTGAAGGACCAAACTGAGGAGGTTGAGAACCGTCAGCAAAAACAAACTGCAAAGTAGCAAGTACTAAACATGGCCCACTTTTTGCCACCGCTGCTTAAACTCCCAGGCTAGCTTTTCTGGAATGAAAGTCTTAGCAGATTTTGCACCGTAAGAAAAGTTCAGGTGTGGTGGTGATAGGTTCTGCACTGAGCCACGATGGTTTTTTGTTTTGTTTTTTAATTTATATTTTATTGATTTTTTACAGAGAGAAAAGGAGAGGGGTAGAGAGCCAGAAACATTGATGAGAGAGAAACATTGACCAGCTGCCTCCTGCATACCCCCTTACTGGAGATGCGCCCACAACTAATATACATGCCCGTGACCAGAATCGAACCTGGGACCCTTCAGTCCTCAGACTGATGCTCTATCCACTGAGTCAAACTGGTTTCCGCGAGCCACGATGTTTTTGTATTCTTTAACTCTTTTTTTAAAAAAAATATCTTCACCCTTGAGGAAATGGTTACCGTGTTCAGGTGGTTGCTTTTAAAATGAAAGGCATTTTCTGTGTACAAGCCATACCTCTTAGTCCATCGCCCCGAGTTTGTCCAGGGCTGCGTTATCTTTGTGAGACTCTTTCTCATAAAGCACTCTCAGCACGTGATGATGCCTCTTACTCTGCAGATGGACAGGGGAGGAGGAATTAGCTCCCTCCAATTCATGGCATGGAATTCCAACACAATTTCCACAGTTCCAAATGGCGCATCTGCATCCTCCTGCCTGGGTTTAGGTCTGTGCAGTACTCACTGGAGACGTGGCGATTGTCCAGCTGTGCTGATCTATTTAAGCTCTGCTGGACAATAGGATGCACCTACTGAATGCATTTGAAATAACGAGTACAACATATATCATTCCAAAGCTTGTTTGTGTGGTTATACCAGCCACAACGGCCAAGTTTACACATCATGCTGGGCTAGAACAGATGCCCGGAAACCTTCATTATCTCAACATATGGAATTTTTGTGAGCACTTTATGATCTTGGTGTGACACTGCACAACAAATAGCTTTATAGATCTTCATTTTATTTTTTTAAATATATATTTTATTAATTTTTTTTAGAGAGAGGGATAGAGAGTTAGAAACATCGATGAGAGAGAATCATCGATCAGCTGCTTCTTCACATCCCTTACTGGGGATGTGCCTGCAACCAAGATACATGCCCTTGACCGGAATAGAATCTGGGATCTTTCAGTCTGCAGACCAACGCTCTATCCACTGAGCCAAACCAGTTTTGGCTCATTTTACTTCTTAATTCCTCCGCATTTGCACAATTGAGGCTGCATAAAAATGCACATCCAATTTCCAATTAGATTGAATTCCTTTATCATTTGACTCAAAATACTAGTTCCAGTGCATGGACTTAACTATTTTAACAGTGTCAGATATATCAGAAGGAAGCCTCAGCATGTTCATTTTTAGTATCTGTTCCTGTTTAAGTCAAAATAAAAGCTCATCTTTCTCGGGTGAACCTGAGCTGCTCTGCAGCTAATATTAGAAATGGATGACATCAGTGTGGGGACATGGGACATTGAGCTTTGTGAGTCAAATTTTGGAAATCCTCAGTCTTAAATCAAAACTTCAGGAAAGAGTTACCCGGAGAAGGGATATTGCTTCTGAGAACTCAGCGGTGGTATTTCTCCTTTCTTTCTGGAGCCTGGTCTATTACTTAGTGAATACTTGGCTGAATTTATTTTAGGGCAATGGCAGAGGCATTAACTATATATAATTCCTGGTGTTGTTTTGTGCATCCATCAGGCTTTCTTTGATTTTAAGGCATTAATGAAGCATTGAGAACTGAAATAAAGCATCATGTAGATCCAGCATCGCAAGCCATCCTTATGCTCACCATTCCTTTACAAATCACAGATTCTAACAGCAGATTAGCAGCCCAAATGTGTTGTTTTAAATTGATTTCTTCTGAATACTTGCATTTTAGACATTATTCTCAGTTGTAAGTAGCTTGAAGAAGAAATGTAGTTAGCTAAAATAGTTACCTTGCATTTGATTTAAGGTTGACACAACAGAGACAACTAAAAGCCCATGTAAGGGGTTCTGGTGGCCATGCCAGGCTGGCAGAAATAAGTTTCAATTTGACCCGCTTTCATGTGCTCAGATCATTACATCATCTGCTGTCTCACTCTACTTAAACACCTTTCTATTCCTCTAACTCACACTCTGCTGTCATGGGGTACCTCACTTGGAAGTTACTAGTCAAATCTGAGGTATGGAAAAATTTTTAAAAAACAAGAAATGTACATTTAAGCTTTCCTTAAAAATCCAGAGCACAAAAAAATATTCATTTGCTAGTCAGCTGCTTTTGATGGTTGCCCAGGAACATACATTGTGATTGCCAGGAAGGTGATTTCAACCTGTAATATGCTTTCTTATGAAGGCACCATTCATCACCGTTGATAAGTGAATAATGACTCATTTGGAAACCAAAAAGCCAAGCATTTGATGGCAGGCACTGACAAATAGCACAATGGAATTTTATTTC